CGTGAGAATTGATTCCACACGAGTATCAAAGTTGAAAGAACTGAGAGTGAAAGTTATGAATCGATAAAAAGAGAATAATTTTTCAGTATTGATTAATTCTTAATTTTTATTTTGTCAATGACTGAATTGAAAATGAAGTGTTTTTTTTTGTTATTATACAACGTTGTGGGGGGGGGGGGTTGCGTGGGTGAACTGTAGTAGTAAATTATAAGAAATCTATTGTAATAAGTTATCATGATGAGACGAGTTTATACAAAGTCTGACTATGAAACAGACATTATTATTACTATTATTACTAATATTCTTATTAGGGTTACTTTAATTGATATTTAGACATGCATGCACCTGATAAATTAATTGCTTATACTCTATACACTTCCCCAAAATGATAAGAATACTAGTAATCATAGTCATAGGCACTGTCAGACTTGGATCTGTTTGTCGTGGGAAACTAGGTCATATATGAAACTGACCATTATAGATGCCAAATCTGTCATATCTGCGATCACACACACACACGCGCATACACAGGCATGCACACTCGTTCATGTCTACACACATATACTGAATACAAATCAGAGATAATTGAATCAGTAATGAAAACAGAAAAGAAAAAAAAGGGAACTCATAGAAGAAGGTATTCATTGTTAATAAATTACAAGTGACAACTTGAATTCATTAAATAAGTAATTAGCATAGTTATTTAGTGTGATTGACTATTCCAAAAGAATGACAGTGTCCATGAATAGACTAGATAAGACAATGACAGGTTATATATGTATGTATAACCGGCTATTTCAAGCTTAATTCATCATTTAAATACAAATCGATAATATTCAGTAGAATATTAATGGAAATACAAAGAATGGAATATACACAACTCCATATTTGGGTGTACTCATCATTCAGACTTACTGCATAAATCTTGATGTATCTTTTGTAAATAATGTGATATTTCAATAACTGTGGAATAAATGAACTAACCTGACTCAATGATCAGGGATTTAACATAAAACTGTTTCAATTCACTTGGGTTTCCTACTGATCAATTCATTTTAAGACAAAATCCTCAGTCTCTGTTTGATATGTCAACTGCCAGCACGGAGACCTTGACGATGTCTGAAGATTAACACGATGTTATTTGTGGTTGATGATAACTAGCAATGAAATCTAAGATGTGCTTATCACCCTGTTAGGTTCAGTAGCCTAGTGAATAACAATTTGGCGTTTGAAACGATGACTGTAGGGTTCGAGTCCCATTGGGAAAAATGTTAGTCACTGGAGACGCAAGTATATCCTATGGTGAGTCCCAAATAGAACGAAATGCGCATTGTGGATTCCACTAATGTCATCTACTATCAGTCAAAATAATAATCATAACATAAAACTTTTCAGGTAGTGAAGGAATTCGCTGAAGACCAGATACACAACTTTATTATAATCTTGATTTATTTAAGAATATTGCAGTATACCTTTAAAGTATCTTTCGTTAAAGAATATGATATATTCAGTATAAAAAGAATTAAAATGATAATACTTTTTTGTCGAGATAACCACCTACACACCTACAAGTCGTCCACCCACGCAATGTTGTATGCATTTTTAACGGACGGGGATGGAGAATAGAACAGCATAGAATGAATTGAGTATTAATTTATATTGGTCAAATTTTAAGCATTTTAAACAATAATGAATAACTGAAATTTATTTTATTACGATATCATTCTGAGTACTTGTTTTATCTGTAGACGTGTACTGCTGTACACTATACTCTGTATACTTTTGTATGTGTTTTCGTTATCATGAAACTCGTTTCCACTGTCTGTCTGTCATTCGACTTCTAATAACTGATAAATAAATCACAGCTTTCTAAAGTCATTTCATCATTCATTTAGCCAAGAACCAAGAAATTACATCACAAAGAGAGAGATAGAAATTCACAGGAAGTGAATTTCTCAAATAAAATAAAACTTATACTTTATTCTTCTTTTCTATTGTCGTTTCGTCCATGTTGTGTGTGTGTATATGTATGTATGTGATGGCGGAGAACTGGGAATGGCGGAAATGCTGGGATAGACAAAGAGAATTACTTGGTGGTTATTCAGTTTGTAAACTGATAGCCCAAAAGAAAACGGTAAAGAGTTATGATGATGTGAAACAATGGATACAATATGCAATAACATTAATTTCAATCAGTTTTCATCAAATAACGTGTAACAATACTGAAATTAAATTGCGTAGGCGTTGGTGTGCCTGTCTGTTACACGTGTAAATGTTTGTGTGTGTACGTGTGTGTGTGTCCCACTACACCTGCAAGTCTATCTATATTACACCGAAAAGAATTTTATCAATGAGCAGACAGACATTTAGATGTACAGACAGGCGTTGTAATTAATGGTAACGACGATGATGATGTTGGTGATGATTTAATTGACCGGAAAAAGGAAACAATCACAGCATGACTGATTTGTATACAATTTTTCTTTAACTTAGTGAATTGATGAACGGAAGAAAATAGGATAAAATAAAAAGAAACTTTCAGAAGTTGACATAATTTCTTCTTCTATCTAAGTTTGAATGTATACAGACCAAGAATGGAATGAAATATTGGCGCTATAAAAAAAAGAGAGAGATTTGACTTTTGGAAAATAAATTTCCGTTATTAGATGTTCATAAATTTTCTGAAAATCAAACAAATTCTGTTTTTATCTGGTATGTTTATAATTTCGTTTTTGTGGTTATATCAACATAAAGCATGGACATATGTACACACACACACTCACCGAGTATCGATGCGAAGGGAAAAGGAAACGTGGGGCAAAATGAATTTAGCATTGAATATAAATCTTTTACTCTTTTCTAATAGAAAGTTTCATCGAATGAAGAAACAATCAAAACCCTAAGGCTAAATAAATTTCTGTTTAAAATATACACAAACAGAGATGTTAACACGAGGTGAATACGCGAAATTAGAAAAAAAAGAAGAGCAAAACGGAAGAAATTGTCGTATTTATTTATGTTAGGTCATAACAAATTTAAATTACAAGTAAATTCAAATCAAGTTAGCGTATTAAAACAAAAAAGTTTATTGAAACATTGATAATAATTAATATAACTATGTAAATTAATTCTAAGCGGTTAATATAAGCTTCAAATGAGTTCTGACATAGCATTGGAAGTGTAATGTGTTACTCACAAGGGTTGAGAGTTATTAGCTCACTCACTTCCTGTTAGTACCATTGATTTTTGCTGTTGAGGAGTAGGAAATTAAGTATGATAAAGTTTCCAATAGCTGTTCAGTTTATGTCATACTTTTTGTTCAGGCCTACCTTGGACTTAGTTATGCTACGATCTATATTTGTTTTATGAGGCCAGTGATACTACCCAGTTCCCTAGGCTGTGATAGGTGGGAAGGGATTTCGAACTAGGACTGAATTAGTACTAATGAATAAGGTGACGCCTATTAGGATGCAAGTACTGCCAAGGTTTGCATATCAATCAGTGTATATAAATTATATATTGCTTAGGGTAATCTTATAGGGATAGATAAGACAAACTAAAGTTATCCTAATAATATTCTTCTTTTCTACAACATACGAAGACTACGGCTTAAACAAAAGATACTGGATGTTCTTCTGTCCATGATAACACTGTTCCCTCTTTCTGGAGTCTATTTATTACTTATTTTACTTTATTACTTTGTGTTCCGAGTGGAACACACGGCTTGAAGTTTGAGCTTTGAAATATCAGTAGCAATGATGTCATTCTTTTTTACAGGGTACAATTGTTAGTGTCCCGCCCAACCTTCCTTCTTTACCGGACATATTGTCAGATAGACAACGTTTAGGAGTGCTTTGTCTGGGGTTCAGTCTCCGAACCACGTGCGTGGCTGGTGAATATTGTACCAGTGAATCCCCGATTCACCAAAATCCAGGGAGTACTGGAAAGCTGTTTTGTGCTCACTTGAGACTGTTCATCAGTACGTACTCACTGGGGTTTTAACCCAGGACCTTGCGGTGGAAAGGTGAGCTCGTAGACCACTCAGACACTGGTAACCTTCGGGGAATATAAGTCTTCTTTATTATTTGTAGTTGAAATGTGTTATTATGAGTCACCAACTCGATGTTTCATCAAAAAATTTTTTAACTCTTGCAAATCTACAAGTCACTTGCATTCTTCCTTTCTAATAAAATGTCTTTGTATCTATGATGAAAAGATGTAACTCGGCAGTTAATGCGATATTTAAAGTGTATGCATTGTTATGTGTGATTTATAAAATCATTGGTGGAATGAAGTGATCCGAAATTTATTGATTATGTTTGTATTTTATTTGAAAAATTTTTTGTTTCTAGAAAAGGGTTTCACTACATATTAATTTATGGTCGACAGGCACATGGACTCATGTGAAGAATGGGCCAAGTCCATTTTATCTAACTCACACCACCCTCTTCACTCACAACTCTCCCCTTGCATCTCATCAGGCAAAACCAGAAGCCTATATAGAAAACTATATGCTCGCACCAGCAAGTACAAAAACTCAACCATAACCTACTTAGCTCGTGTTCTGTGTGATAAAGAAAGCATTAGGCGTGACACATATAATTCGTTAAATAGTCAGTAGTACAACTGGATCTCGTCTTTCCAACTCATTTCATTTATAGGTACAACATTTTGTTTCTTTCTTTTCCTTTTCTCTCTCTTTTTTTCCGTTATGTGCTGCTTTGTTTCTTTCTCTCGCTTACGCCAGTTAATATGACAGTTCCTACTTTTTTAACACCTTCAAACACTGTTCAGCTTTGGCTTTGCTACCGGCATCCCAATGTGTTGTTGTAATAATGAACTGAGATTCCCCTAATCTATGTAGAATTCTATTTATCGATAATGTACTAACTGGATGCAATACTGTAGTAAAAATGCTGAGAACTCCATTCTGTATCACATGTACTGTTTTGGAATAAAGCAAATTATTATTATTAATTTTTCCTTTTGCTTTATTTTAGGTAGGATAAACTTTAAATCAGATATGAAGCAATACATTGAATTAGATGATACAATGAATTCAACAATTCCCGGACCAAATGACATGAATATGATGCATCCACAATTATTGTCTTCAATGTCAACATCACTGACATCACTACCATCATCATCATCCTCTTCAGTACCAGTGCTAGGCGTCGGAACAGCAGGATCAGTAGACTTTACATCACCAGTATCATCAGCATCATCAACAACTTCTGTATTATTAAAGTCTGCTTCATCAACATTATCCCAATGTGTTGGTTGTGGTTTACTTATCAATGATCCATTTATATTAAATGTTCAACCAAATTTAAAATGGCATATACGTTGTTTAAATTGTTCAAAATGTTTACGATCACTAATGAATGATTCAACATGTTTTGTACGTGATTGTAAAGCATATTGTAGAGAAGATTATTTTAGGTAAGTGAATATAAATAAGCGTATTTAACAAGAAAAAATCTAAATGTGAATGAATTAATAACTCGTTAAATGACAGTATTATCTAGAATTAAGGGAGAGGACGGATTGAACTGATTGGATCCTGGGAGTTGGGTCAACACACGGGGTGAGCTGTGTCCCAAACGATTTAAAGGATTCCCTAGTGTTTAGGTCACTTTTATGATCTGGCTATTAAGCACTACTGGTTCGTGTGAGTAGTGTCCAACTACTCATATCAGTCAGTCAGTCAGTGGTATATAAAATAAACTACTTTTCGTACTGTCATCACAACATTATGACCGATGTCAACCTCTAGTCTCCAGCATCGGCGCTTGGTGACAGTAACCAATCACTGTGACCAATACTATCATTTAGAGGATCAACCATGAACCCTGATAGCTCAGTAGTAACTTCTTTAACTGCATTACTAAATGACACGGGTTCGAATCTCCGTATATCTGAATTGAAATATTAAAATAAAAATTATTTACAGCTAGAAATACAGTATAAAATATGAGACTTAAAGTAGGTTCTCTGCTGTTGTTGTTCAATTTGAATTATGAATTACTGAATACTGGAATTAGATACACGAAAATTTATCACTAAGTCCAGTGACTTACAAATCAGTGACCTGCATCCCTACCATTTTAGATAGAAAACACAACTACTAACTAGGTTGTCATTCCATTGAAAGTGCATTGATATCCTATAAATGAGTGAAACATAATGTCCAGTTAACATAATTATATTAGATACCTAATAATATTTACTGTTTCCAGCTGTAATAAGAATAAATTAGAAGGAATGGAGGCCTTTAGTTTCCATTAGTAATCAGTCAATCCATGGATAACTGAAATAATGTCACTGACAAAGTCGTTGCTGAATTCAAACTAATATATTGAACCAATCACCTTTTTTTTATTCCTTCACGTTCCCAGTGGAGAATAGGGCTTCAAGATAGAGCTTTGAAGTTTCGGTGGCAGTGGTATTCATTTTTAAGGGATGGGGTTGCTAGCCTCTATCCCAACCTTCACCTTTACCAGTCTTATTACTGGTTTAGCGAGGTAAAGGATTGCGTCCAGTGACCGGGGTTTGAGCCCCGAACCACCTGCCTGGTTGGCGAGCATTCTACCGTTGTGCCACCTATGCATAAATAAGTTGAATAAGCGTAATACAGTTATGTAATAAGATGAATAATTTAATCAGTGAGTTGTGATTACGATGTACATAGAAACAAAGGAAAATACGGAATTATATAAGAGTTCTGAAAATTACAAATGTCAATCACCAGACGACAATATAAGGTGATAATATCCTGAGATGTACAGCAACGTTAGTGATCATACTTTATATCTGATAAATATCGACCAATATAAGAGATCAGATTAACCTTATCGATTATTGGTCCTTGTTCCAATCCTTTTAAGTGAGTTGAAATTCTCTTACCTTAGGATGAATGTAGCAAGCACGAAACTGAATAGACTGAACATGACTTCTTGAAAAATAAATGACAAACTAACCTCATTCATTTTTCTAACTAATTTATTACTTAGGAGCGTTTCTACTAGTGTATACCTGCCAGCCTGACTGATACCCCATATGAATCTGTTATAATTTATTTTATTCCTTTGAGTTCCCAGTGGAAAGTGGGGCTTCAAGCTTGACTTCTTGTTTCACCAGCATTGGTATTTTACTTTTACGGGGTGAGGTTGCTAGCCTCGCGTCCAGCCTTTCTTATTGGTTGGGATTATAACCGCCTAAGGGAGGTAATGTGTGCGCCAGCTGGGACTCGAACCCCCGACTACGTGCACGTGGTTGGCTAGCACTTTACCGCTGAACCATCAACGACACGATGCTTTATGAAGATCTGACTTAAATACTGTTAATAATATTATAGAGCGCTGACTCATTGGCTAAATCCGGTCAAGTTTCAGTGAATAAGTTCCGGGTTCGAATTCCACCAGGCCTAGTTCACCCTAGGCGACACAATAAATTTGACGCACAACCTGGCATACAGAGAATTTGATTTGGACAGTCGAGTTTTAATTAATTAAACAAATGTTGCATTCTGATCATATAGATAAAACGGTTCCAGAAAAAGAAACCACTTGGAATGAATGAAATAGCAGGAGGAGATAGAAAGAATAAACAATATATACAATAGATCAAACAGTATGCATAAATTTATATACTGACACACGTTAAATAATAATAATAATAATAGTATGAAGACAAGACAGTAACAATGACAGTTGGATTAAGAATTCGAATGTAATCTAATCTGTATTGTCATGAAATAAGAAGCTAAGAGCTGTATGAATGGTTTATTTCAGCGTTATATTACTAAGAGGGATAATGTAGGAAGGAGAGGGAGAGAGATGGCCATAGTAACAGGTGATCCCTGAAACATCATCATCGTCATTTCCGTCATCGTCTAATAATCATATCATCTAAGTAGGCTGACAAAATACAAAAATATCTCATCCTGATGTTAACTGGAAAATATTTCGTCTACCGTTTCTTCCTCCTCCTTTTTTCTCTCCTAAAAACTGATAAATGATATGATAATCTCTGAAAGATCTAGTTGCTAAGCGCAAATGTAAATATGTAAATAGTTTCATGCATATCTAATGCTTGTCTTGTAATGTCAGTTATGTAATAAATCCAGATAGGAAACTTGCGGGGAGGGGGGACAGACACACATGTATGTCTATATCATTCATTATGATTAGTCGGATTATTTCTTGATAAACTTTTTATATCACGCAACTTCATTAAGAATAATAACTGGACAATGCTGAAGGATGACAAGAACCTGTATTTCATTAAAAATATAAAAACACTAGGGGACAAATTGTGCATGTGACAGTAAATCTGTATCTGTGGTCAGACACATACACACACACACACAAACATAAATACAAACGCCACAGTGCATCACTAAACGGATGAAGGATGATGTTTGTTATAAGAAATTAGCAGTTTTACAATGATATATATTTTGTTCAATTATTCAATTTTTAAAGATTAAAGATAATTATTGATTTTCAATTTACTGATGAAATATAGGAAAGTATTCATCACTTGGCTTAACCACTCAACTTTCAGTCACTGAGTTCTGTATTTGAATTCCACTCTGTCTAATTTAACCTGATACAATTGGATACTGAGTATTTAGTTCTGGGTAATTGACTCTTTAGTTGTATAGGGGTGAGTATCTCCGCCTGTTACATGGAAGGCCCAGGTTCGACTCCCCATCGAGGAGCTGGCTTGCAAGTTGCTGGTTCAGTCGTAAAATACTGGCCAACCACAGTTCGATCCTCGGCTGACGCTTCCCTAAACCTCACTTAGCACGTAGTACATCCAGTAAAGAGACAGAAGGTTAGGCATGTGGCTAGCAGTCCTATCCCATGAAAAACCAACATCTCTGCTGAAAGTTTAGAGCTCTAGCTTAAAGTAAAAGAGTAAAAATAGTTGACTTTCAAAAACTAACATCTCGATTTTTCTCTGTGTCTTTTCTGAAGTTAACTGTGCACATCGTTAGAGTGTATTCAATTTGAATTTTAATGACTTTGTAATTGATATTGATCTGTAGTAGTATTGACTAATTGATGCGGGATTCTTAAAGGTACTTATCAAAAGATTGCAGTCTTAGGAATATATTTTTTATTGTTACTCAGCCGCAACAGGTATTTGGAGTATTTGTACATACAGAAAGAGATAAGACTTTTTAACAATATACAACTTTTTGAATAAAAGGCCCTGAATCTTTAGGTTACAATACAAGCAATTTTTCAAAATATGGTGAAATACGTATTCATTAGTCTTCAGTTGTTTATGCTTTAGAAAGTCGATATTAAAAAAAAAATTTATTTGATATTGGTTGGTATCAGAATTCAGTAGAAGACGAGTTTCTTCTTGTTTTACACTTATCAGTTGGATGTACTTGCATCTCCAGTGAGTGATGATGTCCCCACCAAGATTTGAACTCAGCAACTTTATCATCATTACAAACTCCAAGGCGTTATCCACTTGTTTAGAATGTAGTAGTCTATGTAGCCGAGTTTCATAAAAACGTACAACCATGCTAATCCAGTGCCACTGATGATTATCTATACTCAAACCCGACAAGACTCACAGAAAACTAACAACTAACAGTAGACAGTTGTTCTGGACTAAGTTACGACTTCTGGACAGTGTCCATTATCACCGAATACCTCCAAGCATGTAAAAACTGTAAAAGAAAGAAGGGGATAAAATACATCAAAACGTCTATTCGTCCTATTTTGAATTATACTTTTTAACTTTGTCTATTTATCCTTTAAGAAAATGAAGGAATTATAACCTTACGCCTCTAAATAAAAATACTATTGTCCCTTTTTCTCTATAAAAAAAGAAGAGAAAATGACAGTAATAAAATGCTATGACAATAAGAAATAAAGAAAATAAAAACGTTGTGTAGTGTAAATTTTTCCTCTCTCAACTTCTATTGTTATCAACAGAATTTTTTCTGAGTACAAAAAAGTGTACGTTTACATGTCAGTATAAAGTGAGTTGGTAGAATGAGTGAATGAGTGTGCTCACAATACTTCATATACCTTAAGTACTAAAAATAGAGAATAATAGTAATAATAATGATTTGATGTCAGTAGACTCATCATAAAATCTTTCTCGACATCATCATCATCATCATCATCAAAATCATTCCAAAAATAAGAAAAAATTCTGAAGTTATTTCTAAAAAGAAGTTTAAAATCAACGTCTTATATGACCTCTTTACATACATTAAATTACTGTAGTAAAACAAATGTAGTTCAATTTTCAATTGAGGAGATGCAAAGATAAAGCGTATCACTTTACAGTAATAACAATAATAATAATAATGGTTTTAAACGAAGACACTGTCCTTTATTCCTGTCTTTCTCCTCTTAAAACAATGTGTACTCGAAAAGATATTCAATTGTCAATATATATATATATAT